CTCCAACAGCTCCGTGTCTTTCCTATGTTGGGGCTCCAGGGCTGAACTATATATATAAGCACTTTGGGTACCCCAAACAGTGGGGTTTTACCATGAGGAGCGGTGGGATGTCCACCACCCTCGTTACTGTCAGGCTGTTCGTACTATTCTAATTATTCCGGCTCTTGCTCACATTCCTTTTCTGCAAAGAGTTTAATAAAGTTTTATAACAGCTTATGCAAAGCCAAGAGTGTTTTTCCGCCCGATATTTTTCTGCAGCGGTGCGTGCTGCCCGTGTGTTTCCCTGATGACCTTTCCATTTCCCTGGTGAGAAGCGGTGTGGTTTTCCTCCTTTCAGTGCATCCCGGCGATTCTCCGAAGAGACAGTGCGCCCACAGCCTCCACACAGCACATTTGCCTCATCACCTGCTAGTCATGTTATAAAGCACAATCACACCCAATTTTCTAACCATCATCGCTTCACCTTCTTCAGCGTTAGTTTCCTAGGATTTCCCCTGACTCTGCGTTTATATTTTGGGTTGGGTTGTGGGTTTTTTTGTTGCAAAATGAATTTACTTTTACCAGTATGAGCCTTACTTTGCTGTTTTCTATTCCTATTTAATCTCCAGGTCCCCTACCTTACTTTCCTTGCTGCAATGTGTGATATCCGTTAGTTTCCCCCCGCAGTTAATACAAACGCTGGGTGAAGTTCATCCCAAGTTATGGCTATGCAGCGTTATGCTACCGGAATCCTCTGGCGGTCCCACAGGTCTCTCCACCTTCCCCTCTCCTATATTCCAGTATTTCTTTTTATCTCCTACATCCCTCCCTGCTTTCCCAGCCTGGCCTCCCTCGCCTCCTCTCCCCCGTCTGTAGGCTAGAAATAGGCAAAGATTTCACGTTATTAATCACAATGTTATGGTTACAGGACTACAACAGTCTAAGGGGAGCGATTTCCTTCTGATTACTGAAATCAAAACCAAAATTATTATTGCTTTTGGGAAGACAAGCAGATTGACAATGTACTCGTTCTGTCAGCCATGGTGAGGTGAGGAAATAACGCGAGCGGAAAGGGAAATGATAGGCATTAAAGAAATGTCCTCCATCATGGGAATGATCTTGGTGACGGGAACACTCTGCTCTCGAGAAAGCCCCGCAAAGCGTCGTTCCGTGCCAGGCGGGAGCCCAGGCGCTGATGGAGGTCCCTGCTAATTTCATTACGCTGCGGGACAAGGTGGAAACACCCAGGAACTAATTGTGTCTGAACCTCAAATTCCTTCTGATGGCCGTGATGCTTTTCGCTTCATGCCGGCTTCTCCGGTCAACCCAGTCCTCAGCGGCTCCAGAGGTGGGAAGGAAAAGCCCACAGCACTCTTTTCCCCGGCCAAACCACAAGCTGATTGATTGGTTTTTCTCGGCAATTAGGTGTGCCGTTGATACAACAGCCCTGCCACCGGGACCGGAGGAGGCAAGGACGCCCGGCAGTGGAAAGAAACGCTCATTTGGATGCAAAGCCACTCAGGAAACCCATGTGGGGATTTCCAATTCAAATTCAAATCGAGACTCTGAATGTTCTTGGGTTGCAGAACAGAAAATTCCACCGTGAGTCATCAAATTAGTTCATAAGCAAATGCACACCAAAAGCCGAAACACAGCCAGAGAAGTGCACACTTGGCTGAATTTCTGTGTCCCGAGTGGCCACCTGGCTACCCGCAGGGTGACCACAGAGGGCTGGACTGGCTGCAAGACCCACCGCAGGGTCCTTCAGCACTAGTTGCCGCAGAGGTCAATGCGAGATCTTTACGTTTCTGTGAATCGCCGCAGCCGCAGCCAGTGCCCTCTGCCGCCGGCGCCCTCTCTGCCGCTCAACCACCTCCAGCTCTGCCTCTCACCTGGAAATCAAACTCCCCAGTGTGAAAGCCTCAGTGGGATGCCACCTGATACAGGTATGTGGGACGAGGTACCAGACACCCTGCTGCAGGGGCAGTGTTTTGCGTGGGTTTGGTTTTTGCAGGGAGTACTGGATAAATCCACAGAAAAACCCACGCGGCAAAAGAGGATGTCAAATACGAGCATAAGTGTTATGCAGTATTATGGTGACCCACCTGAGAAGACCCTTCTGGTCCATGATGTCCAACTTAACTACACAGTCATGATCATACCACTTGTCACCTTCAGCCCTTTGGTATATCCGAAGGCTGAGAAGGAAAACTGGAAGTGGACCTCTGAGCCTCTCAACATCCACAGCCACTGGCTGCAGCTGGGAAGGTTCACCCATAGCACGGAAAAGCAGGAGGAGATGTGCACTGCTGGTTCTTAAAGAGCTCTGGGACGGGGCAGAATATGGCATCTTCAGCT